CCCCCCAAAACAAAAAAACAACGTTTAAGATTTAGGTTCCAAACGGGAACAAACAAAACTGTTTTGGGTTCGGATGAATGAAAAGCAGAAATACAGTATATGTACTTTCTCACTAATATGTTAAGAATTCTGGAAACGGTGTTTTTCATCGCGGGGCGGGTGAGGTTGTGGCAAACGCTGTATTTCGCCGAGGTTTACGTGTCCCCAGAGTTCTGGGCCGGCCCGCTGCTGGTGTCCGGCCTGGCCTTGAAGGCTCTGACTGGAGGGGTCCTGACACGGGGGTGGGACTAGGGGGAGAGGAGCAGTTCGCAGGGTGCGGGTTTACAGCCGGGTTGCACCAGCACCCGGGACCCGAGTCAGTGGAGCCGCCATCTGTACCCCAGGACTCACCGAAGGTGGCCCGGCGGCCTGGAAGGCCGTTCGGGCGGCCCTGTAGACCGTGCAGGACGCTGCCATCGAAGGGTCCGGCGGTCCAGGACGGGGCCACGTCCGGACTCACGTAGGCGGGGTAGGCGGTGGGGTACGAGGCGCCCACGNTGGGGCACCGAGCGCTGAGCCCCGACCAACTCAGGCGACACGAGCGGGCCGGGTGCTGCGTGGAGCCCCTAGGGAATGGTGGCGAGTAGACGTCTCTAACTTGTTCACGGGATTCACGGGTCCCCAACCCTTCCTCTTCGCCTCCCCGGGGCTCCCGCCCAAGGCTGGCCTAGGGACTGGTTCCGTGTCTTGTGGTTGAGTCCGTGATCCCCGCCCGGTCGCAGCTATGGACAGGCGATGGTGGAGCCCTGTGGGCCTCCTCCTTGCGACCCTGGACTTGGAGCCCAGCGCAGGGATCTAGCTCGCACGGGTATATCCCGGCTCGGGATCCCTGGACTCGGATCTGTTATACTACTGGAGCTTGCACGAGTGAAGTTCCGCAGAAGGGGAAGGGGTTTCCGGTGGGGGCTGCAGGGGAGATCTGCAGGATCTAGCCTCCAAGGGGCGATCTGGATGCACTACGACTCCTAAGGCCCCAGCCTAAGTCCAAGCCCCCGTCCCTTGGGACTTTCACGCAGCGGTGGGGGAGGCCAGAAGAGTCTCCTCCAAGCGCCAGAAATGCGGGATGGGTGGGAGGTACCCAAGTCATGAAAATATTTCCCCTTCGCACTCCCTGGGGGCGCTCGAAGGTGGCTGCGCTGGGGGTGTGAGGGCCCAACCGCTCTTTTCTCCGGTGACTGCAGTCGCCAGGGCCTCACCGCTAGGCCCGGGGCTCTCTGAGAGGACAGAGCACAGCAGGCGCGGAGTGACAAAAGATAAGCAGGATCTTGGCGGTGCGTGGGGACAAGAATGTTTTTGATTTGCAGAAACGCGCCCTCAGCTCGCGTTGGTCCAGGGTGCGGAGGGAGCACGCTGTATTCTCTCCTCGGTGGAGGACAAAGACATGGGGATGATGGAAGGCGGCCGTGACTCGCCGTGGGGGCAGCGGCCGGGGAATGCGAGGCTGGAGTCGAAGAGCCTCGGCCTTGGGCGTCTCCGGGACACGAACCTGGAGCACCTCCACGGTGGGCCCCCCGGGTGGGCGAGA